GCTAAGAACTTTACGCGATCGTTGGGCTTTTCGAACATCTTGACCACATCATCGGACATCACCAGATTGCAGAGGCATTGCGCTGCCGCACGTATCAAGTACAAGTGATCTTCCATTAGGTAAACCTCAATTTTCGAAACACCTTGCTCCTTGACGATACGTTGACGCACGCTCTCATTCATCGCCGCTAAGTTGGTAAGGGCCATAAGCGCTTCGAAATTCTCCAATGCAGTACAATCTTGCGCCAGCAAATTTAACAAAGGTCGTATAACGTCCAAGCTTCGTTGTCCGGCAAAAGCTACTTCAGGATTGATCGTAATACCGATGCGCGCTAAAGCCTGTGACGCATGCCGTTTGCCCTTTTCGGTCCCATCCAAAGCCATCCGCAGCAACGCTTTAACACCACCGTCTTGCACTACTTTGCCGCGCAACTCCTGTAAACTGCATACGGCATTTAGTACACGCGCTATCAGCTCCTGTGAGTTGTGACTCTCAGTTTTAGCGAGTGCACAGAGTGCACTTGTGATGCCTTCATTGGCAAGAACTGTAATACGTTTATTAACGAAATCGACGTCGTCTAACTCGTGCTCCTCCGGTATATGATGCTTGGCGAACTTCGCCAGCTCTACCATTTCCGGCAACATCTCTTGTTTTTCGTATGCATTGACGAGGTTTACAAATGTCGTTACCACACCATAGAGACACGACTGGTCGCCGGAACGAGCCAAATCTATGAGTGCGTGGATCGCAGGCTTATCCTCGATCAGTTTTTCTTTAACCTCAGCGTCCAGGGTAAGATAGGCCAGACCGTCCGCTGCCCATCGACGTATATCCCGGTCCTTACCGGGTTTGATCAGGAAGCGACGACATGCCTCGGCCAATTTGCTAGTGGCTCCATCAGCAAATGGTCGGATTGTAGCATCCTGTCCACCGTAGCTTCCAAGCTTGCAAAGTCCGACCAAAGCACGAACGCGTATATTATCATTCTTGCATTTGTAAAGGTTTTTCAGTATGTCAACACCCTGAGCGCACAATGCCTTAGCTTTGTCCTTTTTAGACGCAGCAGCTACTATGCATTCACAAGCGACGCGTTGCTGCAACTCATCTTCGGTGGTGGCCATTGCCAATATCATTTGCAAAATTCCTTCCCGAGCCACAATCTGATTACCTACATCTAAGGGTCCGGCTAACAAAGAAGTTATGGCCACTGTTACGCGAACTTTAGATTCCATGTCAGGATCCAAAAGTTTATCCTTTATGTATTCATCGATCTGATCGGCATACCGCTTTTTGGCTTCATCGTAATACATGTTCTCGTAGATTCGCGCCATGCACACTGATGCTATGGTGCGCGAGGATGGTGTTATTTCCATTGCACTTTCGTATTTATATTCCTCCAATTCAGAACACACCTCCAACAAACGATGCAACCCACGTATTTCTACCAATCTTTCTGCCCACTCAAGTGCCGTATAATGAACATTGCGCGTTAATAACTCGATAATGGCATCACGTGCCGAACCTGATATTGTCCGATCTGTTATTGTGTAAACAAGACAGGTTAAAAGTGTGTCGATTTCCTTTTGATTCTGCTGGCATAGTTCTCTTTTTGGTTTACTTTCGGGCTTGTTTTCCATTCCCGACAAACAGTTTATTATAGTTTGCAAACAATACTGGGCAGCCGTAACCCGTTCTTCGTGCTTATGATCCAACACATGGAGGAACCATGGTACACCCAATTCTCGCAAAACTGACTTAGTTCGCTCCACGGAGGCACTGCATAACTCACCAACTACCCGTATCAAATTGCAATAAATTTCTGGATCGTTTTCTATTTTGGTTATAGATGCTATTTTTGTAATGCATCCGGCTTTGAAGAGCATATCCGCCCCAACTTCTTCCTTCGCAAGCACTAATAGATTATTAGCTCCTGAACGCCGCTTATCCACTGGAGCTCCGACATCAAAAGTAAGTTCCATCATTTGATTGACCTAAAATTGGCAATTACATATTATTTTCATAAAATTATGTGAGGAGGCAAAAGTTTACCTTCGTTGATGTCTTTGCGTTTTGGGTAACCCGTTCCTGTACAATCTGATGTAGACGTTTAAGCATGGGTTGTACTGATTTGTTATTAGGGTCCTCTTTAAACAAATCGGTGGCATCTTTGTATGCCTCTTCATATTTTTGTAGAGCCTCGAAAGCCTGTGCTCGACGAAACAGTGCCTTGGGGTCCTTTGGTGAAATACGCAAGGATTCCGTGCAATCGGCTAAAGCTTCCTTGTATTTGTCAAGTTTTAGGTAAGCAGCAGCGCGATTTTTGTAGAAAATGGGCAATTCCTTGTGTTTCTCACCAGCTGTAATGGCTTTCGTATAACTTTTCACAGCCTCCTCCCACTTTTCAGCTTTGAAAGCCGCATTGCCTTCGTTTTTGTAGGTCAGGGCTTCCTCTTCGCTTTCAAGGGGTTTATTTGTATTATTTGTCATTTTATGGAATTTACCTAATGATTTCTATTAAAATTGAAATTCACAATGCAAAAATTAATAATTTCTTATTTTATTTTATATTTTTTAACTTTGTGTCACGTCTCTACTGAATAGTTCACTTAAAAACTTTTTCTGCTTATGGCTGTGCACTTTTATTTATAGGCTTAAGAGTGCCCGAAATGCGCCTTCTCACACCTGCCGAACTTTCTCGAACACCTACCGTGTGGATTGCGTTGAATTGTGAATTTTTCCGAATTTTCGTGAAAACTTTGAAATACTCTCGAAGAAATTTGGTCGTTATACCGCTCTTTTTTTGCCTACCAATAGATGGTCTATTTATAAAACTTGTGAACATTTCTTTCGACTTTTTATTTTGTTTGTTTTGATCAATCTTTTATTTATTTGACATTTCCGTACGTTCAGTGATCAAAGGAGAAGTGACTGTTCAGTGGGAAAATATATGTATAAGTACCTACATAAGGGGTCTTCACAGGCAGTTCGGTGAACTGCAGCACTCTACATCATGGTGGTACTCGGTATTAACTAACCCTCGGATTCAGTAATTCAGTCTCATCTCAAGTCACTAAATTTGAGATTAACAATTAGTGACTATTTTTGTGACTTGAGACGATTTGGGTATTCAGAAGGACAGAGTCACAAAAAGTTCACCAAAAATGTGTGTTGAAAGCAAACACAGACAATCAACTGATAGTGTTTATGTATGCCTTTTGCCCGCGCCGCTCAAAGAGTCGCAATGGCCGATTGGTCAAAGCATTAGGCTGGCAACCGAGAGGGTCCGTGTTCAAGTCCTCCTCGGCCGTAGAGGATTTTTTATTTATTTTTTATTTAGTATTTTTTTTTTTATTAGTTTTATTTTATTTTTTTAAATCTTTAGATTTTAATGTTTTAAAAACAAAAAAAAAAATAAATTTGTTTTAATACATTTGTATAATATTAAAACATTTTGGTTTATTTCCTAATGAAATTGTTGTTGAACAAATTCCCTCTCTTCATTTTCGTTTTTTTTTAATAAAATGGAAAGATATTATCTTTTCCTCCATATTTTTATTTTTGTGACCTACTCTTAGCCAGCTGACAAATTAGTGACTTATTTTTGACACTAGAGACGTGAGACAGCGTGCTGAATACCAAATAGTCTCAAAATCCAAGTTCATCACCAAAAGTCACTATTAGTGACTAGAGACCGCTTACTGAATGCCAGGGTAAGAACGTATATACGTTCTTTCATAAAGCTACAATCCAATCCGGTGCAAGCCCTTATGAACTTTTTTTTTAATATTGCCTTTATTAGACTAAGGGCCAGATTTTCAGTGCCAGTTAAAACTTAGATTAAGTTAACTGAGTTAAAATTGAACAGCTGGCTGACATTTGATTGGCTGATCTTAGTTTAAACCAGCCAGATCGGGCGTTTAAACTGAGTTTAAACTACGACCGTGCACTGAAAAACTGGCCCTAATTCTTAAAACTTTTCAACGAAATTTTTGAGGTATATGTATATGGATTTATGATTTCTCGACGGGGTTTTCATTCACCCTCGGAATTTTACTTTCATCAGCTGTTTTGTGAATGCGAAATGTGACGCAAAGCTGTCAAAATGCTACAATTCCGAATTCCTAACAAAATGATATAATCGTGTTAAAAACAAATCCAAAATATCGAAATCGGTGGCCCGTGCGATGTATAATAGGCAGTCTCGGTTCATATTGCGTAGCATTTTGTCGACGCACTACAGCTACAGTAACGCTGAGTATCTCTCTACCAGCTCATCGCTGAAAAGCGCCAACTATTATCAAGCTCTTGGAATAGTACAGAGCTCAACCCAGAGCGAGATAAAGTCAGCATACTACAAACTCTCGATGCAATATCATCCGGATAAAAATAAAGGTTGTGAAAATTCTGCGAAAAAATTTCGAGAAATCACCCAAGCATATGAAGTACTAGGCAACTATCGCTTAAGGAGGCTATATGACAAAGGTATACCTTAGTTAATATTTTAACCAGTTCTATATGCTATATTTAATATTGTAGGCATTATACACACAGCGGGATCAACATATGCGCAGCCAACGGAGCACGAACCGGAAGAAGAAGACGATCCGGAAACAAAGTTTTACAAATCTAGATTTAAGAAATCAAAAGTTTCCGATGAAATGGGACGCACGCCCATTTATGATTTTGATGAGTGGTCTCGCGCTCATTACGGTAAATCCTTTCAAAGACGGCAAGATGCCAAACAGAAATTTGATCGCAAGAAAGCTCAGAACCGCGACCATGTATTAGCTTTACAAAACGAAATGGTGCTTTTCGGATTCGTATTTCTTGCAGTGGCCATGTACGCCGTATTTTACACTGAGTCGTCACTAGACACACCAAAGGAACGCGCTATTCGAGCTGCAGAAAAAATGAAAACTGACATTGAGGGTGAGAAGTCAATAATGAACGCCACGTCTGCAAGCCCAGAAACATAGTTGTGATAAAATATCAGGAAAGATTTAGAGGCAATGTGTATAGAAATTCTATTTTTAACTACATACATATATTCAAGCTGTAGGCGTTTTTATTTTTAATTCTACATATCCTAGAAGAATTGTAACATAAATGTATGGTTAGTATATTTTGATTTAATACATAAAACAAATTGTTACCATTTACTTCGCTAAAATTTTCCACTTCGTTTGCGGCCCGTATATTTTGTGTCAGGGCGTGTGTCACGACCTTGTCGTCGCCTGCGTTCCTTTTTAGCCAAAATCCATTCACGCGATTTTTTCATTGGCTTGCCTCGGGCTTCTCGGCACATATCACGTTTTTTGATATAACTTATTCGTTTTTCCTCTTCTTCCGTTCCTAAAATAAAATGTAGTAATTAATATTTAGACTACGTTTTAAAGAGAAGACTAACCTAGCGCTTTTGGCATCGGCGCGGTTCCGCCGGTCATTAAAACTAGAAAATACTTTTTTGCTTTGGTGGAATTGGGGTAATCAACCACTAAACCACCATAAAAACCTGCTTTCATGGCTTGAGATGTGACCATTTCAATTTGATCCGCGTTTTCGGGATAAAACTGAAATACAGCGCGCGCTGTACGTGTCAAGCAGGAGAATAACGTAGAAAAGAATTTATAAAGTCTTTTATGCGGATTGTGTGAGCTTTTGTCAGCATTGCACAACCATTGCAGGGCAGAAATTGATATTGCTCCATCGAAAGTACCCGGCCTGAACGGCATACCCTCTCCCATATCCGCTAACAGGAGATCGCCTGCTACATCCCGTTCGCAAGCTATATCCAACATCGCTTTCGAGATATCTACACCAACCCAAATATGATCATTGTCATCAAGAACGCTGCCCGATAACCCTGAGCCGCAACCAATGTCTAATATAAAACACTGTTCATCTTCATCCAGTGTAAGCAATTCATAGGCTCGTTCAGCCATCTCAATTTGAATTTCAATAATTCGAGTGCTGTAAATAAAGCATCATATTTACAAAAAAGGAACTAAACACGCGTATATGTACCCACTTGGTTGAGTATTTTTTAGCCTCATCGCTGTTGTAGAACTGAAAACAATAAATAAAGTAAATTATTATGGGCTAAAAGAAATATTGAACACTTTTACAATTTCAGGTGGAGCTGAGTGCTCTGGTCTTCTTGCCATATTCACTAATTTCCGTAAAATATGAGGAGTTTTGTAGTAAATGAGATAAATTTCTATATTGAGTAAGTTTATTTTGTTTTCACGTCCACGTGGGATTCAAATAGAGGACAAAGAAATCTTTTCAATACCCCGTTTTATTTTATTTTCTCTTTTCCGTTTTTGTTTTGATTCCTTCTTCAAACAGCTGTTTGTAAGAGGTATGTTCAACGCCATTATGCAAGTTTTGTTTTGATCCCTATAGTGGAGATTTTCCTTCAGAAAAAACTGTGGATTATAAACATAAATAAATTGCGAAATATTTAAACGATAATTCTTTTGGTAGTGCATAATATTATAAATGGCATTTGCTCTGAGAAATCTGTTCAGTCCCAAATGCTACAGGTACATTCTATGTATGCCTACATGAGTTTTCTTATATAAAATAGTTATCTTTACAGACAAATATGTGCGGCATCGCGCTGTAATTCAATATACCAGGAAACCTTTTCCACTAAGAATGCTGATATAACTGAAGCCGTTACATTAGAACACCCGAAACCCAGTCCAGGGGGGACAAAATTAGTTATTAGCGATTCATGTAAGAAGCGCCTGCTGGAAATATCTGGCAATGGGCGTTCTTTTCTACGCATCACCGTGGAAGGCGGCGGCTGTTCAGGATTTCAGTACAAATTTGACTTAGACAGTAAATTGAATTGTGATGACATAGTTTTCGGCGAGGAAAATGCAAAAGTTGTCATAGACAGTATATCATTGGAATACTGTGCTGGTGCCACGGTCGACTACCATACGGAATTAATACGCTCTGGATTTCGGATGCTAGCAAATCCGCAAGCGGAGCAAGGTTGCTCATGTGGTTCTTCATTTTCAATAAAATTGGATTAGAAATAAGAACTAAATTTCAATTGTCGTTGTTTATTGTGTATTGCAGCACTTATATGTAGTAACTTTGTAAACGGAATAAAAGTTAGTATATCAGCATTATCAGGGAAATACTGTTTAAACAAAAAATAACAGGTACGGTGCTAGTGTTATATCGCAAGTAAAAAAGGCGGAGCCATATTTTCAACAACCAAAGTAACATACTATAGTGTTATTGTACCTTATCTTTTTTACCTTTGTAATATTTATTGGTTTAATTTTGTGATTCGTATGCTTATGTCGAGAAACTGGTTTTAGTATAATGCGGCATTTCCTTTATCCTTTAAACGACAAGGAATTTTTTGATGAAACTTAATAAGAATATTGACTTACTAGTATCGGAACTATTTCTGGCACGTTTATTTGTCAAAAGTTCTTCAACGGCTCGGCGCCAGGGAGTCATTCGCAGTCGTATGCTGCGAATGCCGCATTATACTAAAGCCAGGCTTTCGACATAAGCTACTTTTCCATGTGAACACAGAATTTATTGTTGCTTCCGTTCAACAATAAAAATATATTGTTTAAATGCATATTTACATATTAGCGTGGGTTGAAAATCCGCTTTTTTAGAATCTTGATTGATAATAGCAAAAATATGGTTCATTTCGCTTTAAAAAAATCTGTGTGAAATTTGGATCAAAGTTCAATATGCTCAAAAAATAAAAATTAACAAATAGACCTTTTTTGTAGAGAATCGACGTTAGCTAAGAAAAAAACTTTTTTAGTACTTGAACTTTGATGGACTTGGGCGAGCCTAGGATATTGACCAAAAATTTTCACATTTCACACAGATTTTTTTTAGAGCATAATGAACCATATTTTTGCTATTACCAATCCAAATTCTTAAGAAGCGGATTTTGGGCCCACGCTATTACATATGGAATCTTGTGTGGATTCAACTTTCCAAAAATACCTTTTTTGAAAAATTAAATTTATTGTAGAAAACAAAAACTAAGTTATAAACTATTTTCGTGTTTATTAGTTTTTATAAATCGTTATAAAGTTACACATTTAGAAAATATCTATTTTTAGATGATTTTTTTTTTCAATTTATAAATTTCTTACACAAAATGCATCAAGCTGAAATATGACATGTGGTATAACTGTTCGTGTTCTTCATCTTTCATCATCTGCCGCTGCGTAAAGGTTCGATAGTAATCTTAATTATAAGTTCACTAAATATTCAACAATTTCGGTTTGCTAAGCTAATCAAAACGATGTTCTCATAAATATTTGCATATCGGAACAAACACGACATTCATCTTTGGAGGAATTTACAATTATTGTTTGCCATGAAAGGCCTTTACTAGCCTGTTTGTGTTTGCATTCTGTCACAGGCGTATCTTGTATATACATACAGGTGAATACATGCATATATATTATTTACAAGCAGCTAACTGCTCACTTAAATTGATCACCTGTTCCGTGAGAACACTTATCTGCTCTTCGTAATTAACACGTGTCGTTGCCTAATAAAATTAAGTTATGATTAGCTTTAGTAGTGCGAGTTATGCATGAAGGTTCTTACCAAGTCTTCCTCTAACATTTGTAATGCCTGATTTATGCTTCCCATTTGTTCATCTTTTGCTTTTAACTCCTGTGTTGCATTTTCCAAACAGATTTGGAAATGTTCTACTTCTATTTCATACGAGGAAATACGAGATTCAGCCAAATACTTTGCTTTCAGGAGATCTTCGAATTTTTGGCTAAATGTGTTATAAATAAGTAGTTCTTTCGTAGGCGGCACTATTGGTTCTTTAATCGATTCCCGTACGCTGTAAGAATGAACATAAAAACAAGTTCAATACCAAGAAATTTTTTTTGATATCAAATAAAAATTAATGATTCGAAAGAGTTTTACTATATAGAAGTTAATATAAATTACTACCTCGCATTTTTTTTCTCAAATACCTTTTGTCGTCCACTGAAATGGGCTTCACCACTAAACCAGCTGCTGTACTGCTACAGCTGCAGTTCTTATACTCCGCTACAGCAGCATCCATAGCAGCGGCTGACACGGTTGTTGATGCATTATCTTTTAATTCGATTCCATTTCCGTCATTCATAATAACTGTTTGTTTTAATTTCGCCATTTCGTATTGTGTACGCCAGTGTACCATTTCTTTTTCTAGACAAGAAATACGTTCATCGGCTGTTGCGACAGCATGTGCGTTGGCTGTAGACAGTGCGGAGGGATGATGATGATGTGGGGTAGCAACATGTAAAGGGGTGTGATCACTACCCGAAACGCTAAGGGCATCCTCACTGCCCAGCTACAAGCAAAAGAAAACGAAATTATAGGTATTCAAATTATTAAAGTAATCTCGTAAAAGTGGGCTAAAGCTGCTTTTCACATACAGTGCCGGACAAAAGTATTTGCACAGAAAATTTTTCGCAATGCATGCAACGTTTTTTATTCTAATTGCTTATTGATGACTTTTATTTAAAAATATAGTTCATAGTACAACAAAAACATAAAAATTAAATCTAAACTTTGTGCAAACTCGGGAAAATTCAATAAATTTCCGTACTAATTTACAACTTTCAAATTAGATTTTTTAGATTTTTTTAGATTTTTAATACTAGGTATGCACTTTTATAGCCCATTCAATTTTAGCATAACAAAGTTCAGGTTTGAAGTTGCTAAAAATGGCAATGCTTTTTGACAATTTTTTTCCTGACGGTATTTCTCCCATACAAAAAAAAAATTGTCGAACATACTGTATGGGAGGGTCGTTGGACAGTTGCTAATTTAGAGATAGTAAACAAGGGGCACCATTTCAGCAATTTAAAACATGCTCAACTTGATGTCATTAAGCTTTCGATAAAGTTAATCTTAACATTTTGTTTTATAATCTTGGTAAATTCGGCATCACTAGCTCACTACTTAAATCCTCTAGAAACTTTCTGTCTAATGGGAAGTTGGTGGTAAGAATCTTCTTCCTCTTCTTATTTTACTTTATTGGCGCTATAACCGATTTTGGTGGACCCAAAACAGCACGCCAGTCGTTTACTTCAGTGCCAACTTACGCCTATTGAAAATGCCAAGTGAAACCAAGTCCTTCTGCACCTGGTCTTTCCAACGCAGACGAGGCCTTTCTCTTCCTATTTTACCAGCAGAGAAAGATTCTGCGAAAAATTTACGGGCCATATTATAAATAGAGTCCGATCGATTAATCGGCCGATGCCGAGGCTAGCATTGGCCAACAGAATCGGTTTCGGCCGTTTTTGGGCCCGGCATCGGCCAATTAATCGGTCGGACTCTAATTATAAATGCAACTTCGGGCTTACTGCAAGAGGCTAATGTTGGTCCTCTTGCTATTATTGCTCTTCTTAAATGACTCCTCCACGGTTCAAGTGGTTACGGTGGCTAGATTTTGCTGATAGTGTAAAACTTTTTAAACTTATAAAAGACAATACGAACTATCAAAACTTTCAACGTGAATTAGATGCAATAAAAGAATGGTGGCTTAAAAGCCCGATCTGGCTGGTTTAAACTAAGTTCAGCTTTTCAAATTAAACTCAGTTTTCTTAATCTAAGTTTGAACCGGCACTGAAAAACTGGCTCTTAGGGATCATCTTTGATAGCAAACTAACATTCTCACCACATGTTGACTAAATTGTTAGCAAAGGATATTTAATTTTTGGGTTTATAAAACGCGCTCAATGAAATGTACTATCCTTATAGTAGCCCTACTGGAACATCCGATTTCGCTTTAAAGTATGCCGCCTTACTAATCAAGAAGGGCATTGCTGAGACTGGGAGCACTGTCGGACAGGAAATTCTTCTTGTCTATTATGTTTGCATTTGCTTTGCTTACTCTACAATTATGAACGTAGTTTTAAGCTTTTAATTTAGGCTACATACATAACATCCTATTCTTATAATACAAGCTTACCATACTAACTGCATCGACCAACTTAGCTTCAAGTTCCGAATTTCTTTTTTCTAGCGTTTCCATTTCACGACGTAATCGTTTTTCTGTCTCTGTGAATTCAGCAACACGCTTATCTAGCATTTGTTCCAAACTGGCAATGCGTTCGTTATGAATTTGCAGATCTCGCTCTTTGTCATCAATCTTAAATTAAAAAGGGGACTTTAAAGCTTATGTACAATAAAAATTCATTATCCCAAACCATTGTGGTTAGTTCTGCGTTTTCCATTATTTTCTTTTGAAGTTCTTCGAAAATCAGAGCATCCTGTGCCAAGTCTCCAACAGCTCCAGTAACTCTTCCTTCTGCTGACTGCAATGGTTCGCCCTTACTACATTTATCGCGTTTATTGCGCCCTTCATGCGTTGCGATTTCATCTTGCAAAACTGCTACTCTATGTTCTAACTGCCTGTTTCGAAAACCCAAAGAGTCCACTTCTTGCTCCGCCCGTCGAAGTGACGTTTCACTATGCCGCAATTGTTCCCGTAAGCCGTCTCCCTTTGACTGTTCATCTAAAACCGCTTTTCTGAGTACACTAGGCACGCGCTCGTAGCTTCAAAGAAATAATAATGTTAATGTATTGTGTTGATCATCCTGCAAAATGTTCAAGGGGCGTACTTTTGAGTATTCGCTAGCCAACTTTTGATATTTGGCTTCTGGTGTTGCCGTCAATTCTAATCTGTCTTCCATTCCGCTGAACATTGTTAATCTCCCAGTGATAGCAATTCACTTTCTTCTCATTATTTTTCATGTATGTATTTATATTTAAATTATTTCCATATTAATCTTCGGAATATATCCGGAATTTCTATAAATTTTATTTTTGAAACTTCTTTGTCCTTTATTTCAGGTGAAATTCCATTTCTATTTTGGGACACGATTGATACCCTGTTGGTGTCGTAGTTGATTAAATTTATAAATAATTATATACTTAACAATCTCCAACGAGCACGATATCACTTATCTGAACTATTATTTCACATTATTATTCTGCTAGATTTCTTATTGCCTTATTTTTTCATATGGTTAAATTAAATGTTCAGGTTGCTTAACCAAGGCGATAAATTCTTACACGACACTACTTTATTGTGAATGAGTCACGGCAAAACAGAGAACGTACGTTCTCTGAGGTGGCGTTACTGGCGAATCTAATTTTCGCCGCGGTACTTCTGAATGTCAAAATGATGTGTTTGTTGTAATATGAATTCGCTTTGTTTACAACAAACACATCATTTTGACAATGGGATACCGCGGCGAAAATCGAAATTCGCCTTAACACCACCTTGTATAAATTCGCCTTGATTTACACGTTTGACGTTTATTTGCAGAATTGACATTTGTTTTCTCGAAGCCGCTTTTGCACGATCGTAAACAAATAAATTTTTCATTAAATATTTATTTAAACCATTAAATATGTCGGCGGGGTCAGTAGATTTGAGTTCATATCGAGATCAACACTTCAAGGTAAACTTTTTGAAATAAAATTTTGTTTAACTTGCGGGTTATAATCTTCGCAAACTTTCAGGGCTCGCGCACGGATCAAGAGCGCTCGCTGCGTGAATCTTGCACATTATATGTGGGAAATCTTTCATTTTATACAACAGAGGAGCAAATTCATGAATTATTTTCACGTTGCGGAGAAGTACGACGTATTGTAATGGGTTTAGATAAATACAAGAAAACTCCTTGTGGATTTTGTTTTGTCGAATACTATATGCGGACTGATGCAGAAATGGCAATGAGGTAAGGAAGGTAAATGCAACTAAAACGCATTGTTACCAACGTTTTCGCATTAGATACGTCAACGGAACTCGTTTAGATGATCGCCTCATCCGTGTTGACTGGGATGCTGGCTTTATAGAAGGACGGCAGTATGGTCGTGGCAAAACTGGTGGCCAAGTACGCGACGAATATCGGACAGACTACGATGCCGGCCGAGGAGGTTATGGAAAGTTGCTGCAGCAAAAAATTGCGCCAAATACAGACAATCGTTGAATTCGTTTTTTTTTTTTTTTAATCATAGCTTAGAATTTATACATAAATATAAAAAATGAAAACAAAAACTTATAACTCGGTTCTACGTCCGCCCAAATATGGCCCCTTTTTTAGTTTTTTATATTGTTTCTTTAATTTCTTTGGGGCTTGTTTTCCAGATGCCTCATAGTAGGGATTCACATAGTTAGACGTACGTCGATCTTCATTTATTTCTTGAAGCAAAAGATCCATCAATGTTATTGTCGTTTCATCAACCAGATGCGTCAGAGAGTTCACAAATTCGTTGCACCAAGTCAGCGTTGATTTCCAAAGTGATATATTCTTGCCAAATATCCGGCGACTTATTTCTGGAAAATGTAGCAAACTTTCAGCGGCAATGCAGCAATTTTCCAAAGTGAATGTGACGGCATCTTGTAGTTCACTACTCTGGGGAAATCCCTCGCGTGACGCGTTATAACCATTGGAAGTCAGTGTGGCATTCTTCTCTGTTATTACCTGTTCGACATTATACTACCGTCATTGTACTAGTTAAACATTTTAAACTTTAGCAATTAATACTTCAAATATTTTCCTATAGGCTATTTGTAATAGTTTGAAGTTCTTTTCGTAGTTTTCCGATGCCAACATGCTCCTAATCATTAATTGATGCTCTCTTCGGCGTTCAGCAAACAACTTTGCATCTAAAAGATATAGCATAAATAAATTTGGTATTCACACATTGTACATACATAAATATGTACTTACAAACACTAGCTGTTAATAACGAATTGTTTGCGCCAACCTCTTTACTTTCGCTATTCTCTATAGGTATCCTAGAATCCTCATTCCTCTGATCAGCAGGGAGAATACCATACAAAACCAAGAAACTTATACGTCAAATACATTATTCCCGAAATTTTTAATTTTTTTGTTAACACTCAGCTGTATCAAGACGAATTAATATAAGGTGATAGCAGGAGTACAATAACAAAAATTTACATGTATTTTCCCACCAAACAATTTGTGTTGCCAGCAATAAGAAAACGTGCCGCCCTCGGAAACAAATTTATTGCCGGTAATATTGCCATCGAATCGATTTCCTATTACCGGTCGCTCTAAAACGTCCGCCGAAGGCAACTCGCCTGGGCGAGTCGTTTTCTTATTACCTGAATGAGTCCTTTTCTTATCGCTTCAGGCGATTTTTGCAATAATTTTATTCTTTTTAATACTTCATTTATTTTTTTGTACCAAATTGCAACTTACAATCGGAATTAATTCATTTTCTCGCTGTGGCTTCCTATTTTTTCAATCTTGTCCTTGGGCATAATTTAGATGCTTTTGGCCAATACTATTGACGCCATATTCATAAGTTTCGGAATTTTTGAGAACTTTTTTATTCAAAATTTGACGAAGTGATGTTGCCGATTTGTCACCACAGCAATAAATCGGTGAGTCGCCAATGTGATACGATTGTTGCCATTGACGATTGTTGCCTATTTCTCATGTTTTGCATGGTGGGCAGAAGCCGTGCGGCGAAACACATACACAAAATCAGCTGAGCTAGTAACACCACCTTATATAAATTCGCCTTGAGCTGTATCGTGTGCTTAATGGCAGGGAATCACAGCCATGGATAACTAGATACAAGGCGAATTTATATAAGGTGGTGTTACTAGCTCAGCTGATTTTGCGTATGTGTTTCGACGCACGGATATCATTGCATTTTTAATTCACATTACAGATTTTGACAGTTTATACCGCCTAAGCAAAACAAAATACATGTAAATTATTGTTTTTGTACTCCTGCTATCACCTTATATTAATTCGCCTTGGTTTGTATTTTTTATAACATTCTCCAGTAGAGCCACTGTGACGAAAACATGTATGGGCATTTAAAAAGAAATTTATGGAGAAACTTTTGATTAAACACCACGAACAAAAGTTGCAATATTCTTCATATCTATTTTATTTTTCACTGTTTATATTGCCAGAAAAATCGCATTTAGTTACAAATACTGTTTTATAGTAATATTAAAAAATGCGGGAAGAAGAAATCCACTGAATTCAATGTGATGCATTTTCCACACATCTCGTGGTAGCTCGCCACTTCGCGTGTCAGCTGTTTATCTGCCCAGGGATTGACAGTGCTGCCAAGTCCGAAAACGAGTTCCTGGGCGCGCTCTCAGAAAAAATGAGAGTGTCATATCTAGTTATCCATGTCACAGCTGATACAAGGCGAATTTATACAAGGTGGTGTTGATGGCGAATTAAATTTTCACCGCGGTACTACTGAATGTCAAAATGATGTGTTTGTTGTAAACAAGGCGAATTCATTTTACAACAAACACATCCTTTTGACATTAAGAAGTACCTCGGCGAAAATCTTAATTCGCCATCAACACCATGTATAAATTCGCCTTGGTTCTTTCCCGTACGCAACGCGGGTTCCCGCGGGTGCCCAAAATAGCCCAGAAAGCATTCCCGTACTCAACAGTATGAATGCGCCTTGTTTACACAAACACATTAGGTTTGTATAGTAACCAATAGTCAGTACTAATTTGTACTGGAACCTGCAAATTTTTACTGGAAAAGTGTATGATAACCCAAAAAATTTGCAAGAGAGCAACAAATCGAGAGCGCAACAACACGGGAGAGCTGCAAATTCTTGCTAGTGAAATTTCTACTAGCAGAAATTAGCTAGCAGAAGAAGAAGAAGAATAAATGTCAAAAGCCGCCATTTGTTGAATTGGTTTAGCACAAACAAAAGTAAAATAAGTGAAAATTGAAATATTAATGATGTACTAGACTGTGTAAGTGCTTGTGTGAAAAGCAAAGAGTTTAAAACCGATTTATAAATAGTAAAATGTTTACAGCAGAATATCAAAAGGGTGAACAACTATTCCCTTGCAAGTTTTTACTAGTTTTGCGTTCAGTAACTTTTTCTGCTAGTTTTCTCTTCTTGTCAATTTTACGCTCTTTTTTGCTTTTACGCTCTGGCTGCAATGTTTTACTGGAGAAGTTAAGAGCGAAATACACCACACAAGCGGTTTGACAAACCAAGCGAAATTTCCCTTTGCTTCAAGCCATTTGTGCTGTGTATGGGGGTGTTTGAAGGTTTGACGGCGGTTTGTCAAACCTTCAAACACCCCCATACACAGCACAAATGGCTTGAAGCAAAGGGAAATTTCGCTTGGTTTGTCAAACCGCTTGTGTGGTGTATTTCGCTCTTTACTATACAAACCTATTATTTTGACATTAGGAAGTACCGCGGCGAAAATCTACTTTACTTTTTCGTTATTTCGCTCTCTGTGAGCGTAATTCTTTCAATTAAAAATTAATTTTCTCTAAATTTAAGATTAGCAATTAGTGACTATTTTTGTGACTTGAGACGATTGGGATATTCAGAAGGAGAGAGTCACAAAAAGTCCACCAAAAATGTGTGGTGAAAGCAAACACAGACAATCAACTGATAGTGTTTATGTATGCCTTTTGCCCGCGCCGCTCAAATAGTCGCAATGGCCGAGTGGTCAAAGCATTAGGCTGGCAGCCGAGAGAGTCCGGGTCCAAGTCCTCCTAGGCCGTAGAGGATATTTTATTTTTTTTATATAGTATTTTTTTATTAGTTTTAATTTTTTTAACAATTTTTAGATTTTAATGTTTTAAAAACAAAAAAATTAAATTGTTTTCAATACATTTGTATGATATTAAAGCATTTTGGTTTATTTCCTAATGAAATTCTTGCGGAACAAATTTCCTCGCTTCATTTTCGCGTTTTTTTTTAATGGAAAGAAATAAGCTTTTCCTCCATACTTCTATTTTTGTCACTTTTCTTTGGTTTAGTGCTTTTTCAAGTTCAAAACTTGGCAGCACGATGTAAGTATCGATGCCAAAATTACTGGTATCGATCGAAAAGTATCGAGTATGTACTTGTATTTACTCGTATCGTTTCATCCGTACTAGTGCATTTCTCGATCATTTTGCGCGGAAGAAAAGAGGAAAGAGAAATTTTAGACAAAAATTTAATACAAAAACTTGAACCTTGGATTGGTTAGTGAAATAATTACAAATCCCGCGAATAAAGCTGAAAATGTTAGTTGATAACAGAGACTATCGAAAACAATACAAACGCGAACAGGTTAGGAAGAAACGTAAAGAAAAGGCTGAAAAGAAACTGGAAAAAATAATCCACTTGCAAAAATATAATAAACAAAAATCTGAAAATAGGATGGAAGCAAAAAATAAATTTGTCGATGATGCGTAAGTTGTACAAAAATCACGCAAGTACTTAATATAAAGGGAACTTGCGAGAACACCAACCGTTAAGTCTCGGATCGATAGGGCGGTATAAAGCTGAAGCTCCATAGCAGGTGTTACGGCTTTCGAAGTCCAGGATTTCAGGCGAGCAACTCCATGACCATAATGAAATAATGGGTAGGTTCCAAGGCACATTAAACAGGTAGTATCAGTAGAGCAAAAACAACATTTGCGTGTATTTTGTTGTTGCTTCTGGTATCGNATTTTTTCTTCTAAATCAAAGCGTGCCATGTGAAATACAAAAAATTATAAAAAATAAAAAATTGAAATTGGAAAAAATAAAAATTGATGCAACTTTCTTTCCTAGTAAATTTGTTTGCTTCTCGAAGCACTGATCCATCCTTTGCAAGGCCCAGTAATCAGCGGTCGTGCTGCCGAGTTGGGCAAACGTTCCAAAAGCTGCTATTCAATCCCTTGTTTTGTATGGGAACAGGTTTCACATGCAAATGGAATTCAGAATTTTTGTGAGAAAAAATTAAAAATATTTGACATTTTCGAGACCAAATAATTTGAAAATAAATCAAATCAGCTGCTCTACTGATACTACCTGTTCAATGTACCTTGGTAGGTTCAGAAGGCACAGCAGTTGAGTCCAACCGTTGCTAACAAAATAAGTGATCGTTATGCGTCTTCTGAACGGCTTGATGCATTAGCTGTCAAATTCAACTCTCAAGGGTACACACCAACATGTTGTCTCAAATGATCAGAAAAATATAACCGATCATCTAACACGCAGTTGATCAGAAGTATACAACAACGCGATCAGAAGGTGCAATCGCAACAGTTGC